CTTGCAAAGAGGAATTTCTCCAACTATTCAGTTGGTCTAATAAAAGATATCAGATTGACCCTAAGAACCTTGTCCGGGCTATATCCTTATACTAACCTATACCCCTTAACACACACAAGTGCTGCAAGTTTTGCTTTCATCAGTTTGAGGTGCAGTTTCACAAAAAATCCTGCAATACTCTGGCTGAAACCTGGCAGGCCTGATGTCCACACGAGGGGCTATGTATGTGGCAGGAAAGGTATTAATGAGGGCGGCCATTTAATGAACCATTCTTAGAGTTGGAGGCAGAAGTTTATTTCTCACCAGCACAGACAGCAGGGGAAGAACATCTCCCTGCTGAGCTCCCATGCCAGGAAGAACTTGGAGGTGTAAAGGCTGGGGCTATATGGGGAGGAGGAGGCCCCACATCATCCTGGGAATGACCTAAAATTGAATCCTGCCAGGGTCAGGAGGCCAGGATGGGAATGCCAGTGGTGTAGCAGCCCCAGGAAATGCCAGGACCACAAATCTCCCTGGTGAAAGGCAGGTAGGAGGCACCTGATAACCTCCAGCCACCACACAGTCCTGGCTCAGGAAAGCCCAGACCTGTAAGATCTTTGAGAGGCCTGAGGCTTATTGGTTGTGGTGGAGTTGTGAGGGTGAGAACAGGGGCTACCATCCCTGCAATTTTTATCCCACTGCACCTTGACACGCACACAAAGTCATGCATGTCACGAGTTTTGCCATGAACAGTTGGAGGTGCAGTTTCCCAGAAACCCCTGCACCTATCTCCTTGAAACTTGGCAGACTTCATGGAATCAGAAGGAACAGCATCCCTACAAGTTTAATCTGAATCAGGCAAGAAATAATAAAGTAATGTGAAGTTTTGTGATTCCCCATTATAGCTTATGGCCAAAACACAGAAACAGTGTAGAAATTCCAAAACACTTTTGAAACGGTTTCGGCCAAAATGAAATGGGACAGCAATCTGAAACACCAAAATGAATCACTGTCCCTCTGAAATACCAAATCCAAAACAAAGCACAGCTGTTTCACACAGCCCTAATAATCATAGAATACCCTAATACAATAACTGCATTCAGAACACTTTCCATACACAGCTCAGTACAAAGCTCCTAAATTAGCTATGAATTCCATAAACAGAGGATAACTAGACCTTTTCCTTCAAATCCCTCTGCAGCTTATTGAAGCATCCTCATCTATCCATTCTACATATCCGTGGCTTCCTTGTCCTGGTGCAGTCTTCAAAAAGTCTCTCTGTCAAGTAATATTTCAGTATGGCATAACAACAAACATGGATAAGAGATTTCATGAGGCTTTTATGTCCCTGCCCTGAGATGAGGTCTATTCATTGAATCCCTAGTTGTCTTCTAAAGGCCACGCAGCATTTTCTTCTGAAATACCAGACCTCTGTTTGTCACAGAACATATTCTCTTTTCCAATATAGAGGTTACAGGGCTGTTGGTGGTGCTGTCTTTCTGGTGTCATTAGAAAGGCTTCATCAAGCAGCAGAGGGATTTCAAAGGCAAAACTCTAGTTAGACTCTGTTTATGGAATTCATAGCTAATTCCAGCCCCACCAGGGTCCCGCCAAAACCCCTACCACCAACTCCCCTACAGGCCCCCACACCCATGGTTCAAATCATTCACCAGTGCCTCTGCTCCCTAGGAGACATCTTCTTCTCCCTTTGCATCCAGCACAAGGCACCCCTCTTTTCCCAAATCCTCAGCATCTGGTCTGGGCATTGGGCAACACTTGGAATAGGAGGCTACACTCCTTAATTTCACTCTCCTCAGAACTATTGCTATGGTAGTATTTTCTTAGCAGGCATCTGGCATGCCTTGGTGGTAAGGCAGGAACAAAGAGCCTTACTGGTGTAGTGTAAAAATCCATATTTGCTTCCTCCAAAGAGATTATATAGTTAACACAGACCCACCCTTTTACCATAGAAAGTCACTCTCTCCAAAAAAAATCTAGATTAGTTAAGCAGCAGAGTCCTTGGGGTTTAGCTTGTCTGCCACTTCCATGATCTCTGCAGGTGGCTCTGATGCAAGCTGTTGGGGTGGGGGTGGGGGGGTCTGCCATGGTCCCTAGACCTGTTTTGGGATTCCAAGAATCTGTCTCAACTACTGAAATGTAATCCATAGTGCTGCTGAGAAATGTCCGAATAGTGTCTGAGGCTTCCACCACATAAGAATCCATATTTGCTTCTGTCTGTTTTAGCATTGTCTCATGAGACGAACTGATGCTCCAAGATGATATGCAGAATAAGACCCAGAATTGATGTTTCATCCCATTTTTATAGCCTTGTTAATTTACCCAGTAGTCTGGGCTTTTGATGGGTTATCACTGTATTCTTTTTTGAAGGTTGATTGCCATTATTCTCTTGCTGTTCTAGGGTGGATTTTTCTTGTTTGTTTTTGTATTTGTCTGCATTCTTCAGCCAGGCACCAGCTGATGTTTTTCTTTTCCACAAACACACTCTTGCTGGTATTTATGCTATTTGTATAACATTCCCTTCTTTGATCCTTCAAAACATTTTGTTTTGAATGGATCACTATAATTTTTGCAAGGCTATGTATTGTAAAGCAATTAAGGCATGTGATTTTAACTTAAAATACATTTGTTTTATCCAACAACATATACAACACATAATAATCAGCATTATTCCAGGTAGTATAGAAAAGATGATAATAGAATGTAACAATATTTAGGACCACCATCTATGATGGTGATCATCTCTTTCAAATATCATACCAATGGTGTATTATTATTTGTTTAGCTTGTTTAGATTCTTTCAGGATTTCTGAACCTTGGTGAAGTTGATTTTGTTCTTGTGTTGTAGTAGTAAGTTAGCTAATTTGTGAATTCTTCGTAACTGTGGCAGTGCATGTGCAGTGCCTGTCATTTTAAGGGCTGAGTCAAGTGGCCATCAGGTGCCTGATTGTGGCAGCCATTTTAAAACACTGGCTGACTATATAAATACAGCAGCTTGCTGCTGGCAGGCAGGCAGGCACATCACCTGGCTGAAAGGCTGTATGAAACATCTTGGCGGTAAGGGCAGGAGCTTATTGGGATGGAGGTTCCTGGTCCTTGGCATGACCTAAAACTGTACCCTGCCAGGGATAGGTGGCCTGGTGGGGCTCCAGGTGGCATGGGAGTCTCCAAGCAGGTCGGGGCACCTTAACCCCTAGCCCCCACAACACTGTGGGTAAAAGGGGGCCAGGCATGGCTATGGCCACCTGAGCCCAAAGAGGGTGTAATACTCAGGCAGGGCCCGGCAGAGCTGTGGCCACCTGAGCCTCCACAGGGGAGGGAAACCTCAGAGCCCCAAAGAAGGGGGTAGATGTGTAATCCCAGAGAGGGGGTGGTAGTGAGGTCCCGGAAGAAGGTTGATTAGAGCTGAGGGTCAGCCTGAAGGGCAGCCCAATGGGGTGTGCTGAGTAGGTGGTGGGACAACCTGAAGGGCAGTACATGGCCCAACCCCCTGGAGAGCTAGTTGAGGGAAGTGTGGAGCCCCAGGGAGGGGGAACAGAGGGCTGGGAGCCCAGTTTGTTGGGCCAGGGGCCAGGTGTGTGTTTATGTAAAGCTTCCCTGGAAGGGCCCAGAGCAAGCTTGGCCCAGGTCAGGAACTTAGCTGGCCACTACCCAGGTGAGGGTCATGGGAGAGGCCCAAGAGACTGTATGTCTGCCACCCAAGGTGTGATATGGATAAAGCCTATGGACTACAGGAACCGCTCCAAGTGGGAACAGGGCAGAACAAGTTGTTGATGCAAGAAAGAGACCCTGTGAGAGGGGGTGGAGTCTGAGAGGCCCTAGTGAGAGGAAGGCAGTATGAATGTGCATGTCAAAGAGGCCTGACAGTGAGGTCTAAGCTTGGCTCCCAGCGTGGCTCTAGGCTGGGAGAATAAGGACACCATAGATGCCATCTGGAGGCATGGGCTACAGTGTAGGGAAGGTTTGGAGCTGCAGACTGCCCATTACATGCTCTGATGCCAGGGGGAGCTGTCTCCCCCATTTACCACCCATTTATGGGAACAGCAAAGTCATAGCAGGTGAGAGGGCAGACTGCCCCATAGAGACAGGTGGGTGTGCTCGCAGGAGACTCAGCCCCAAGCAGGCCCCCTGTCACAGTAACTAATAATTTAAGGTAGTTCAATTGATTCCTAAAGAGAAATGGAAATCAATTAAATTATTCCATTTTCATGGGATGATTTTCTTTAAGACACTTGCGCAATTCAAAATGCTCAAATAAAAGTAACAAAAACATAATATGTTGATAAATCTTAGTAAAACAATGAGCAAGGCTAAGCCAAAATATCCAGTGTTCAAACCATGCAGTTTTCAGTATCATGTGCAGCTTCTATATATGTATGTTAAATAATCAGTCACATTCGATTCATGACATATTGTACCAGGGAAATAAAACTGGAGGTGCCAGAATGGCCTCCCAGAGCGGGACCTGAGGCAGGGGCAAACTTCCCATGAAAAAAAAGAAAGAGCCCTGAAGAGAGGGCATACTTACTTCCCATGGGAAAGGGAGAGCCATGCTGAGAGAGGCCACCAGCACAGTTTGTCAGTCATTTTTATTGCTGGCTGGTGGTGGCACCAGTGGATGGCGTCATCAAAAACTGGTGCCCAGCAGATTCTAAAGCTGGTGGCGAAAGAATGGTGGGGGAGATGGCAGGGATGCTGGAGGGTGAGGTTGCTCCCTGACTGACATCCCACAAAGGTCTGCAGCTGTGGTAGGGACAGTACAGAGACCCTCTGAAGGGGTCTTATCCAGATTGAAGAGAAGGGACAATGTTGAGGGACCGGAGAGGACCACAGACGCTGGACCCATGACTGGGGTGGGCAGAAACCCACACCCAGAGCCTTTTGTTATTTTCTTTCTTTTCTTCATTCCACTTTGATTTTGGGAGGGACCCGGAGTTGTGACTGAAGAAAGACCCTCCACGGGTCCAGGGTCACAGAGGAAGATCAAGGCCAGATTGGTACCAGCCTCGGAGGGAGATCGGGTGCGAAGGCGGGGACAAATCATATGCCTCTCAGCCATCTGGGAGAGGTGAGTTGGGGAACAGGCTAACAATCCACCATCCGGCGATCCTGAGGGTTGATGCATGACTGGGGTGGAGGCAAGGTGGAGCTCCAAGAACATCTCTGTTAGGTAGTACCCAGAACAGCAGGAAACCCTGGGAAGGAGCCTCCTCACTGGAAAAGAGAAGACCAAGTCATGGCAGGTGAGTGTTGGGGCTATCCTCAGGGTGGAGCGTGAACTAACACCTAAGTTCTGGGGACATACCCCTTGGCCGGAGTCAAGTGAACGCTCGAAGGCCGCCTGAGAACGCCTCTACGAGATCAGATGGAGGTCCATATAAAGATATAAAAAATGGAAGAATATAAGAATACATATAAATTAACACTGGTTCTCTTTAATTGGTGTTTAATAGCCACTGTTTTTTTCAGTTCATTTGTGTCACTGGGGTGTAGGTTGTAGCTGTGTTGATCTAAGGACATAGGCAGACAAGGCTCCTTGGGTGAATCTGATATCTTTTATTAGACCAACCCAAATAGTTGGAGAATAGTTATTAAGCAAGCTTTCGGGTTCAAAAACCCTTCGTCAGGCTAAGGAAGTTTCAGCAGTTCGTGTGTGCTCTTCCTGGATGGAATGAAAAGTAAAGAAGCCAGCGGCTGGGCTTTGGCTTCCTTACTTTTCATACCATTCAGGAAGAGCGCACACCAACTGCTGAAACTTCCTTAGCCTGACGAAGGGTTTTTGAACCCGAAAGCTTGCTTAATAACTATTCTCCAACTATTTGGGTTGGTCTAATAAAAGATATCAGATTCACCCAAGGAACCTTGTCTGTCTGTGTCACTGGGCATTCTGTGGCCTCTAAATAAATTTAATACAGTAAAAGTTGTGCTATCCGACATCTTACAATCCAGTATGCTCTACTAACCGGCATGCTGGCTTGTAAGATAAAGTGAAACCGGAAGTGCCTACCGCTGCACTTCCAGTTTCTCTGAGCCCCCATGGCTGAGAGCACCACCATGGCCCAGGGGCATAAAAGGCTGCGCAGGGCTGTGTGGGGTCCACTTCCCTGTCCCACAGGGCCTGCAGGACAGGCGGTGAGGGACGGTGTTGCCACAGGAAGGGCGGAGGGATGCCCCAGATGCGGCGGGAGAAGCAGCAGCCAGGGCCGCTCAATTAACCAGCATATTTTGTTATCCAGGATCCCCCATTCCCGGGGGATGCTGGATAACAGAGCTTTTACTGTACATTAAATTTCATACACCATTGACTAACTTTAACTGAAATACATGTACCCATTTTGATTCTTCTCCCCAATTGTATTTCACATACCATTGGACTAAGATGGTTAATGATAGACACCGGTCCAATTCACTTGGAATCCAAAGTTGTTGGTTTTTTTCGAGTTATAAATACATAACTTGATTGTCAATTTTCCATAAAAATAGGGTGCTAATCTTTTCTTTCTGTATTTCCCCACTACATTTTTGAATAGCTTCCATCATTCATATTTGAAGGGTTACTTTGTTCTATTTTTTAATTGTGCCAACTGTTTATACGTCATAGTTAATGACATCATTAAAATGATCCATGTCCCTTACAAACTTTGTGGGCTGTTCAGATAAAATTTGATAAGGTTATATGTATGTTCACAAACAGTTAGTCTAGAATGAAAGGCAATTTGTTAATGAAATCTATTTGTAACCTACTCCACAGGCCTCCCCCCTTTTGATGAAACAGTGATTGGGACTCAGAAGGTTGGGCCTTTTTGCAATTGGACATAATTAGCTATCAGGGTTTTACATTATTTTACATTTTGTACTTTGCTTTAATCAATAAAGAGTTCTCTTTATACAAATATTGATACGCTAGATTCATCAACTCTTGCTTTTTTCTTTAAAACAATGGGTTAATGCAGTTTTCATACAGATCCTGGTATGCTGGTGTTATAAATAGCATCAAATGAGATTTTTCTTTATAGCCTTAAAAAAAACATTTCATCAGGTTGTTTGTTAAACACACACACTACTTTTTAAATAAATGCCATTTAAATTTGCTAAATACGTAAACAATAAACTGAAACTTTCATATGAATTGCTTCTTTTTGTTTCAAATATTAGAATAATTTTTGTGTCCAAATTGGTTGGAATGTATCCTAGTCTGGGATTCACAGATTAATTCAATTTTAGAAGGAGTATTACCAATTATTTTATTATATCTTTATGATATTTATATACATTTAAACTTTTGACAACTTAAAATAAATTAACCAACCAAATAAAGAAAAGATGACAACAGGACAAATAATATAAAACAGACAGACAAAATAATTTTTGCTCTAGTGATAAAACTGAAGTTTAGGTGAAGCACATGCAGTGGATGGTAATGAGGCCTCATAGTCTTTTAGTCACCTTCGCTACTACAATAAATTTTACACTATGGTTTCTGCAAAAGAAAACACACAAACCTACCGAGGAAAATTCCTTACAGTAAAATCGTTATAGTTACAAATTTACAATGCAGACATGTGCAGTACTAATGCACATATGCTTACAGTTCTTGGGGTGTTTTTCTTGTATGTGTGTGTATAAAGTGTATAAAGTGACCAGGATTGTTTATATTTATGTTACTGTTTTATATTACTCTTTTCTCAAAGTGGTACTAAGGTGTATTGCTGCCACACATCTCTTTTCCTTGGTCTTCACCAAGGGTTTTTCTGTTGGGGTATGCTCCCTTTATCCTTTTTCTAATGAAGGGTAACCGATAAGGCATTGGGAGCTAGGGTTTTAAGGTGCCCTGTATTCACCCCTGCCCATTCCCAGGGTGGTTATGCAGCATTTTGCAGAGAATACCCCTCTATGGGTTATTTCACCATATTTACCACACCCAGGAGGGTAGCAGTTTCAGGTCATACCTAGGACCAAGCCCTCCACTCTCCTGCTTTGGTCATCTTCACTTCTTATGGGCACAGTCTCTCACTTCTGGGCTTCCTCACCCCTACTTGGGCCAGTTGAGATCACAGGCTCCCAGTTCTGGCAGCTTTAACAGTGGCCTTTTCTCTATGCCCCTTCTCTGGACTGCCAGATCACTTGGTTGTCTAGATCCTTTATAAGATTTTTTTTTTCCCCTCGTTCAGCTCCCTTCAAAGCCTCTGGACTCCATCCAGCTCTATTCTCTCCTGATTTAACCCTTCCTGTACTTTAAGTCATTAACTCTGCCTCACACTTTTTGGACTGAGTCTCTGGCTTTCCATGCTCTTACAAATTCGGCTCTGCTCTTTAGTACCCACTCTCAAGTCTTCTCTGTGTTCTGTGAGGCTGTTCTTAAACCCCCTTTAACGAATCATTCTAGCAAGTATCTTGGTCTAGCAATTGTCTCTAACAACTCTCTAGAATCCCAATACTTCCTTCTTCTGGGTCTTACCTAACTTTCATCTTTCCTTTACTTTAACAGATCTAAACCATATCTTTTCTGGGCTACAGGCTTTACAGTCCATTCTCACACTCTTATTACAATTTCTTCTGGGCTCTTCACTGTTCCTAGAAAGGTGGGCAGTGGGAGTGGGGAGGAACCAAGTTTCACCTTTACTTTCCAATCACAAATTCTCTGCCACTGCCTGAGCAGGTGTCCAGTATCATACCCTGTTACAAGGCTGTTAGAGGTTGTTTCTTGAATCATTTAATATTAGGTATAAGGCTAACTTGTTCAGAGTATCATAGACTTTTGTAGGCTATAGCCTACTTGTGTCAGATGCTATGAATTGACTATTAATATGCTATAATCCATTCATAACATCTGGTGAAGTAGATTGTATCTTACATAAATTCATGCATTTCTGTAGGAGGAATCTGTAAAGTGCCATACTACCTCTGACTTTAGACTAACACAGCTAACTACATCCTTCTATGGAATATTAAGTATGTTAGCCTTTTCTCTCTTTTTATTGAACACTGAAGTCATCAAATATTTTGTGTTTCCTCATTGATCAATCAGGCCCTAGGTAATCCATTGCTTTTCACCTTGATTCATTACTTACAGCTCTGGAGAGAGGAGGAAAGCAAATAATACCAATGAATACTCAGTATGCTCAGGTACAATGAATGGTAGTTGCAAAATGCTGAAGAATTAGGACCTTAATCATTATAAGTATGAGCAGCATTGAACCACTGAATCCCTCAGAGAACATGGGAGAGAAAAAGCAGACAACAAGCAGCAAGTCTTAAAGGACTGATTTTTTTGCTATTCTCCTTTGTATAAGGGAGAGACATATATTTGGTTGTGTATGTGTGTTCCTCCAAAGACTTTCAATGTGGTCCCTTCATGCACAATACTATGTTGATTAAGCCAGGTTGTTTAGCAAACAGTTTTCTCTATTAAATTCAAATAAATCATAGAATCATAGAAGTAGGGTCGGAAGGGATCTTGTAGATCTTCAAGTCCGACTCCCTGCCTGGGCAGGAGAAAAACTGGGCTCAAATGACCCCAGCCACGTAGGCATCAAGCCTCTTCTTTAAGACCCCCAGGGTAGGAGCCAGCGCCACTTCCCTTGGAAGTTTGTTCCAGATCCTAGCCACCCTAACTGTAAAGTAGTTCTTACGAATGTCTAATCTAAACCTACTCTCCAACAACTTGTGGCCGTTGGAGACAGCTCCAACGGCTGTTGCAGAAATGCTGTAGCACTACTTTCTCACCTCACCTTTTCTTGATTAGCACTGTTATTTGCTTATTGCTGTCCCCTTTATAACAAGAATATCAGTGTTCTTTTTCCTCCCTATCTTCAAAAACTCAAGGTCTTGTGGAAAGTGGATGTCCTCGGTAGTGATTACAATTCTCTTGTAGGCATCTCTAGGCAAGACATTCTTCTGTTGAATAAGCATCATTTCTCTTACACTTTCCTATCTTCCTCCTCAATGCTGCTTGTGTATGTATATAAGTGAATATGTATTAGCTATTTTTTGAGAATCAATGGCACATCACTTTTTGCTTGTAATGTTCTTGACACAACACAAATGTCAAAATGATAGCTTTTAACTCTAATCCATATACAAATATGTACATTCATATGAATAACATTTCTATGCAAATGTTTGCATATTTTGTGATCCTAATTGTTAATAACATGCCACTTATCTGCATCTATTTTATATTGTACTAAAAGTATTTACTTTTTCATCTGTTTTTCTATGTTTGTTTTTTTGTTTAATTGCTTATATTATCCTGATGTAAAAAAAAAAAAAAAAAATGGATTTTTGTTTTAAAAAGATTTTAACTAAACTGCAGAAGTATGCCAGTTTGGAAAAGACAGTAGCTATGCACAA